GGACAAGTTTAAATGAATGTCATGTGAAACATTTTAGATTAAAATTGAGAATTACATAATTGTGATTAGATTAACATTTTTAATCTTTCAAAAAAAAAAAAATTTTTTAAGACATGTATTTTTTTGTTCTGTATGTATCCACAACATGTCCAAAGTGGTTGTATATATATGTTTGAATAGAAAGAAACTTTTTTTTTTTTTTGTTTTGGTGTCTTTTTTGTATGGTTGCTTTTATACTAAATTATTTTCGTAGTAGAAATCACCATTATTTATTTCTTGCTTATCATTCATCTTTTTTTAAAAGGATTCGGAATACTCAGAAATTAAAATATTAATCGTTGAAATATAGAGTTACGTAATTGCGATTAGATTAGCATTTTTAAGACATGTATTTTTTTCTGGTGTAATTTGTAATATAAACGTTAAAAATAACCTAAAACAACTAAAATTTTTTTTTTCATGGATTTAATTTTATTCTTTATTTTCACTAATATTTGTATTTTTAACGTTACTAAAATATAAAGTTGGAGGTACGCGTGGCGCGTACCAATCAACTAGCTATTTTATTTTTTTTCTGTTGTAATTTGTAATATAAATGTTAAAAATTACCTAAAACAACTACAAAATTTTTCTTTATGGATTTAATTTTATTCTTTATTGTCACTAATATTTGCATTTTTAATGTTACTAAAAATATAAAGTTAGAGGGCATGCGCGTAGCGCATACCAATCAATTAGTTATTTTATTTATAAATACAATGATGAAACAAAAACTTTCAAATCGTAGACTCAAAAATAAGATTATTTAACCATCATTGAGGGATCAAATTTCAAACTGCAAATGTATAATGCGCAATATGAAATAATGAGAAATTGTTTCGCCCATGCAAGATTCTTGATTTTCTAGTAGTCTAGATTATCTCCCAAGAAAAAGTAGTTAAGATGGGAAAAAATAAATATCAATGGAATTTGATGTGAAATAGTTGTAGCTTCAAAACTTAAAAAGTTTATGGCCCCTAATACAGTAGTTAGTAATGTAGTTTGTGTAAATAGACTACATCTATAGACATCAAAAATCTGTTAGGATGGTAAAGTTGTTAGTTTCCTTTTTCTTATGATTTTTTTAAAGTAATTTATTAAAAATTGTCTCATCTCAACATAAATTTTTACATTTTCGATACACTTTATTACATTTTCAATATAAAAATCACCTAAAAACACACAGTAAAAAAATGATCCAAACATATCACGGCACTCATTTCATCAAAAACTTCTTTGAGACTGATGAGAGTTTGTATCAAAAATATCTATTAGTCCTTAATTATACCCTTTACATATACTCTCTGTCCCATATGATTATTCAGTTTGACTTTTCATCTTTAGTCCTTATATATTAACATATAACGATTTTAGGACAAATAGAGCATTATGACTTTTAACTTATTGCTATTTATAGTTATATCTTACTATATTAGAAACAAAAACCACACTTAAGAGAAAGCACCATCATTTGCCATGTGGCATTTCCACATCATATTTTTAAAATAAATTTTTATTACCACATCTCCTAATTTAAAAGGCAAATGCAGTCTAAATTCACTTCCACCTCTTATTTTCGTCAAAACAGAAAAAAAAAAACTACGGGTTCATAAAAAACTCAAATCCTCATCCCCATCTCCACGACAATCGACTCCTTAATCAATCCCTTCTCCACAATTAAAAAAAAAAACAAATTCTTCATCAATCATCAATTGAGAATATGTGGTGAAATATACTTCTTTCCTATTAGTATGTTCAATCTTTTCATTAGTGATGATCAACTACATCTAATCGGATAAAATTTCAACTTCAAAAAATATTCTCTTTACCTCTCTATATAAGCACAAAGGAAAAAAAATGATCTTGCTTCAGCCGTTGTGGTGGTGCCATTACAGGTATTAAAATTTAAATAATCTTATTTCTACAGATCATTGGTTTGGCTTTTATTATTTTTTGTTTTTCCCGTTCAAGAATAGTGTTATTACTATTATTTTTATGCGTCCATCCGTTACAGCTACCGTAGCCGTTGTCAGGTAGTATGATGTGATTTCTTATTTGGTTAGTTAGCCTAGAATTTTTGTATGATTTTAGTTATGGTTGGATTGAATTGATTGATTGGGTTTTTGTTACAAAGTGTGATTTTTTAAATTTGTTTTTTATGTTTCATTCAATTAGAGTGGTTTTTTTTTTTAATTATGGAGTCTCGGGGTTTTTTTCATATATGGCCAATTATGAAGTGTGTTTTTTCTTTGTTTAATTGCTTTTGATTTTCTTTCATACTCCCAGTTGACCAATTATTATTATTATTATTTTATTTATAAATGAAGCACATTTCTTTTTTTGTGTTCGGGGTTTTAAGAATATACTTTTTTGGATTTGGTTTTTGGACTTTTTTTAGTATCTCATCATATAAATAATTCAGTTCACTTCTTTTAATTAATTTATTGGGAATCCTTTTATGAATTTGAGGTGGAGAGGGAACGAATGATGTTTCTACGTTTATTTGTGTTTTTATACATCGTTTTTACTTACAGAAAAAAATAAAAATTGTCAAATTTTAATAGGCTATCTTTTACTCTTATTATTTGCCATGGTGAGCTGAGTTCTTTTTTGTTATATCTTGAAACCTATGCAAATTTACATTATTTTTATTCTCATATTTGTGATCAGCCAGTTTCAACAATTAACCAGTTTCAAAATCATATTTTTGATATTTTACTACCTATAAACTTTTGGAAGAAATAGTTCCAACAATTAAGCGTATACCGTTTGGAGGAAGCTAACTACAAAGCTATTATAAATCTCCAAAACTAAGTATTGATTTGGCACAACCAATGGAGAACATCAATAAATTATCTTATTAATATTTAAACTTATTAGGATGCTTTTATATTTTGTCTAGTATTTACTTCAAGACATATATTTGATCAAGTTTATTTATATTTAAGAAGTAAACTTATAAAATATTTCTAAAATCTTCAAACATTTCTAAAACGTACCGGGCCAAATACAATTTATTTTTTTGCCAAATACAAACATCACACTTATAAAACATTTCTAAAACTCTTCAAATATTTCTAAAATATATCGGACAAAATACAAAATATTTATTTTTCCAGATACAAACATTTCTAAGATCTACAGATATATTGGGCCAAGGTCGCACATTGTGCGACCAGACATCACTAGTATAATGGAGAAACCAGAGAGAGAAACTGGTTGATCTATTATAGAGTGCTACATAGGATATCCTATGTGGCATTATTTCATTAATCCAAAAATAAATAATTTTGTGTAATATCAAACAAAGTCCTCATAATTATATGTGATTAAAAATTGCCTAGTAAAATTAATTTTGTATTAATAATTATAATTGGTTTTTTTAAAAGATATAAATATATTGCAATAACAATATATATTTATTTACTGAAACAATTATCCAATATTTCGATCTTTGTACCCACCTTCAATATTTTGATTTCAGGGGTAAATTTATATATATATATATATATAATTTATGTATCGCGTTTTCCTTTATTCAAAATCTTAATAATCAATATTTCACAAGATTTATGCGTATATGACACACACACACACACATATATATATATATTATTTTAAAAAATTCAAACAAAAATGTAACATATTTCGCACATCGTGCGTGTTTAATATTTAGTTATTACTATAATAATATATATGATAACTACTATTCTCATTGAGAGATTAGTTAATGGATTCGTTTTTCATTAAAAAAAAGGAAGAAGTTGAATAGTGATCAACCTTAATTTTTTTGGGATATTGATCAATCGTTTGGACTTTGGATGCTTTTTAACAGAAAAAATCAAATATTTCATATACTAATCCAAGACCAAATTCAAACGAGGTTCCATAGATAAAATCTTCTATATACACTTGTCGAAGAAACTATCATTATTGATCCTAGATCAGAAGTCCTTCCGAGTTTCATCCTAAAGGAAACAAAAATGCTACTGATGCGAGAAAAAAAGAGAAGGTATTTTAATGCCAAAAAATAAAAAATAAATAAAAAACTAAAAAACCCTCTCCATGGAGCAACTCAATGAAAGACAATAATCCTCAGCCTGGAATTATCGAGATCATCTCACAATATACTAACTCAGGGCGCGTATATTCAACCCATCATGATGCTGCCAATGATTCCAAACATCCTGCTTCGTTGTCTCACGACTGACTTAGTCACATTACAAAGGTTATAAGCGATTTCCTTCAACAATATGAATCAATATTTTGTGAATACACTTATAAGTTAATAACATATTTTCATTTACTTTCATATTCCGGTTGAGCGACAAAAGGATGACCAGTTTTTGGAAAACATGCGTCTAGAAATATGCCCTCACTGAGACATGAATAGAGAACGACCCGAATTGATGCTTGGTAAGTCTTTGTGTTATTTTTATTTGACCACTTATATGGAATAATTATTTATGTATTGACCGTAATTATTGTGAATGAATTTTTATGATAATCAAAGTTATTTATCGTCATAATGTTTGTTTATTTGGTACCAATTACTATCTCACGAAGAAGTTATAATATTTTGGAGTCTTATATTTATTTAATTTGCCATATCAAGATCAAGAATTTTCCGTATAGTTATCAAATTTTATGAGTAACATGTCAATTACATAAATGCTCAGGCAAGATCAACATTTGCTGGATATCTGGCAGAGTTAGTGCTATCTACAAGGTGTTGAAAAGACACTTCAGAGATCAAAATCAATGCCACAAAGATAAAGTATTAATCATATTCAAGAAAATATATTAGTCGATAATTAAGGTTGCGAGTATAAATTTATTTCTTTTTTGTGCAGCTTGAATGGTGAGGATTAGAAATTTCACTATAATATGATATCCCTATAACGCCATGCCTAATGCCACGAAGTCATTCCTAATGGCGGCTACCAAGCAAAAATCCCGAATCAAGACAAACATAAGGTTGGAGTTATCCAAATCAAAAGTAAGGGATCATCTTTGTCGTCTCCAAAACATTGGTGTTTAGCAGCTATCCCGTCATTCTTATGAAATACGCCAATATCTTTGTCAACTCCAAAAATACGAAACACGCCAACATCTTCATGCCTGCTTGATGTATGTTGTTCTTGGAAATTGTGAGTGAGATATATACAATTCTTGTCGTCAAAATCGGGAACACAAAATGCTGATGTGCTAACGTTGCGACGATTATTAGACAAGAATATGGTCTCATTGTTTTCCAACTCAGAAACCTTAACCCAATCCAACTCTTCCATATCAAAATCTGGATACTGGATTTTCTTCTTGGCCAGTTTGAAAACATTGAACCTCCCAAAATCATCAAAACCCGCGGATCGCAAGATCATGAACTCGCCGGAGTAAAAAACCCTTTGCACTAACAAGAGTTCTCCGTTTGAAGCTTCCACCAAATATGGCACCTGGCGAAAGGATTTATGTTTATGATGCCCGTAGGCACAATCTCAAACCTTTGGAGCTAATTCAACCTTTGTAGAAAATAATGTCACGATAACAATTACCAGACGACCTTTCAAGTGTTCCATAAAAGGAGTACCTAAACTGTCGTCTTTTTTTCAAAGCTAAAAATGAATATTTTTTCTTGGTATCCCAACAGATTGCACCTATGAAAAAATCATCTGGGCATGTTGTAGGATTACAAGACAAAATCAATTTCCCCAAAACATTACCTTGTAGATTGTGATCGGGAACTTGTATTCACTCTCTGGTAAAAGGGTTATAAAGATGGATTCCATAGTTGACTTTGTCGTGGGTGATCAACCAGCCATGGGAGGAGTATACGCGGTCATTCCCATTCCCATAAATAGAAGGAACTTTGAGTTTCTGATTGTAAAATTCCCTCTCGATCCTTCATATCGTATAACAAAAGCCGATTGAACTCTAATCGTAATCAGAATCGTTAACATGATCGTCGTTGTTGTCATGATTGTTTGGACGGATCACTGAGAGCAATATTGACGGTAGCTTAGGAGTCGTTGCGATTCGTTGTTGTTTTTTATTCAGAGCTACGGACCAAAACAATTTGCAAACTTCTCCAAACCGTACGTGTTTGCGTGAATATTGTACACCCGATACGGTAGGAAGGGGGAACATAAGTCATCCAAAACACAATTAAATCAGATAATTGTGGTTGAGTTCGAACCGGCCTCGGACAAGGATTGAGATCTTAAGGTTATTGGCTTTAGTTTGAGAAAGACAAGTAGAGACTAGAGAAAGTAGGGAAAAGCCGAAGAGACGGCGTTTGACTCGTAAAGTGGAAAATCCTAGCGCCTGCAAGCTGTAGACGGTGCCGATGACACGTTATTACATAGAAGACAAAGACATGACGGACGTGCAGAGGGTAGTCCGACATACATAAGTGTTAGAACACTTATTACAGAATAACCGCATTCGTTGGAGTAGAAAAAGGTGAACACCTACCTAATTCTATGTATGAGAAAAAGGCAAACAACTCTATTACTAAGCTAGGGGCTAAGCAAGCATGATAGAACGTGATGAACTACCATAGGGAAGGTAAAAGCATAATACACGATAAAAGAAATAATAAAGGACAAGGAAAATCAGTTGTATGGTTGATTGGGGATGATTTTCTCTTTATGGCGGCTTCTATTTATAGTGCTTGGACGAAATCCTTACTGTCCTATGATTCCTTGGAGAAAAAGGTAGCTTAACATAGTCAATTTCCTTAGAAATAGGTTACTATTCTCGAAGCAATCTCCCAATCGGTTGATGATTCTACTCACAATCAACTCTTATTTTGGTAATGGAATTTTTTTCAAAACATATCTCCTTAATTACTGATAATTTCCCTTATTAAAAGGAGCAAGAAATAAGGAAGAATCTTCCTTAATTGCCAATTAATCACGCAGTCGATTCTGGAACAATTCTATTCCCACTTAACTCATATTTTCCTTCTCCAATTCTAAAACTGTTCACACTCAACTAGCTCATATTGATCCCAAACGTATTCTGGCCACTTTTGGGCTATTTTAGGGCCTTAATATATCATATAAATCCACCAAAACTCCTGGGCCATGAATCATATCTCTCGTCGGCCCGATTTACCAAAAATTGGCCGAACATAATGCCCCTCGAACGTTCATATTGAATATGACTTTGATATGAACGTTGATAAACACATTCCTACCACCAGTCAGAAGCATTTCATGCTGCACTTAGATCCACATAGCACCATCCCACCGGATACATAACATAATACGGTACCTATGCATAATGTGAAGAATACGGGTTAAAGAATGGTACATGCTTACTTCTTTACAACGGCTGAAACTTTCTCTTAAAGCCACTACCAGTTCTGGAACAAGACTTAGACTCTTGTGATCTTTGCCTTCGCGGATAACTTCTACGATTCTTTAGTTCTTGAGCCATGTTAATACTGAGGCCCGATTTTGGACTGAACCGGCCATCTAGAGTAGGAGAACTAGAAGCGCTGTTCACCTTTTGCTTCTCGGTGTCTTGAACCTTAACACCAAAAACGGCACCTTTGTTTTTGGCCTCTTTTGTGACTGTTGACAAGGATTGACCTTGAGAATATTCGGAGAAGTAACCATCTTGTTATGCGGAACCTAAAGCTGGCTGCCAAATCGTTTAAGAACTGGATTTGCCATGGTAGCACTACTAACTTTTCCCGAATCATTCTTCTTACTGCCTTTCTTGTCTTGACCATGAAAAATCAATAGAAAAGTAATCGGCCGGTCGCATTTTACCTCAGGCTGATTGCCGAACCATATGAAAACTAGGTTGGAGATGGCAGGACCACAAACTGTATCAGAACTGATCTGTTGCGGCTCTCTTTTTTGTTGGTTGCCGATTTAACATTGGTTTCACTTAATGCTATGTAAACCAGTGCCTATTCATGAAGGTTTTACTGTACAATGAACCACAATATATTCAAGAATAGATTGTATATGCCGACAAAAAACATCATCAAATTCAGCTAACATTTTTTCGTTAAAGAATCATGTCATTCTTAGAATGCAAGTTATAATATAACTCTGTTGATTTGATATATTGAGAAAATGAAGTATAGATATGGTGAAAACATGTGCTTTATGGCCCGGGTTAAGAACAAAATGCATGTGTGCAGACCGAGCTTAATCAATATATGTAAATTTTTTTTTTTTGGTAAATTAATTAATATAATCAGACCAGAAGACATAACTCACGAGAATTGAAAAAGATTGTCTACCATTGTTGATGGGGGCACTCAAATGATACAGTGGCGGACCTACATAGAGGCATGGGTGGGCTTCAGCACTCCCAGCCGGCTAAGAAATTTCTCTGGCTGCCTTACATCTGCCTTCATTTTTCTGTTAAGCACCTCCAGTTTCAGACTTTCAAGGATACTGAAGAAGAAGATATAACTCTTTAAATTAATAATATTAACTTTAATTTATCGATATATTCATTACTCTGTAAATTAATAATTTTTTGGAGGTTCAAGTATATTAATTTATGGAGGTTTTACTATAGTTTAAGTAGAAATGTTTGTCAAATAGGTTATAGCTAGACATTAGGAATTGGGTTAGCACCAAAAGCATTCTCAAGATTAACTAGATTTTCTAATATACTCTTATTATTTGAAAAAATATAAAAAATATACCTCTAGAAATAAGTAAATAATTGAATTGTCCTTCAGAAACTAAAAATTGATGTATGTATTGAAATCAACCAAAAAAATTGCCAAAAAGACATTTGTACTCTCAAGATACCTTCCATGAATTTTTAAAACTCTTATAAAATCAAATAACTACTTTTCAATCTAAAATTCGCTTCTCACAAGTCTCGTAAGTAGTCACTCTTACCCAAAATATTGAAGTCTCAGAAGGTTAAAGTTAACTTAATTATTACCCAAATAAATTACTAAGAGTTTGAAAAAAACCATCACAAAGGGTTTCATGGGATACAAATATCTTTTTGTTATATTTTTTTGACTGATGTCGTGTGCATACATCAATTTTCAGCTACCGAACAACTCTTTTGATAATTTGTTACTCATCGGTGGATTTATATATATATATATATATATTTCTTTAAATCGCGGAGGGTTTCTTGGAAATACAAATATCTTTTTGGTATATCTTTTTTTACTGATATCATATGCATATATCAATTTTCAATCGCCGAATGATTCTTTTAATAATTTGATTACTCATCGATGTTTGTATATTTCTTTAATAATAAGGGTGTTTGAAAAAAAAAATCAAGTTAACCTCAAAAGTGTTTTTAATATTAATAACCCTTAAAAATATGTTAGGATCTTAAAAAACTAACTCACCCATTTCATCAAAGAATACTTTGAGACTTAACTGCAAATTTGTATTTAAAAACAATCTAATACTCCTTAATTCATACCCATTTACATTCTATTTCCTTCGAACCCCATTATTCAACTTGGGTTTCACTTTTTGTATAATTTAAATTCAAAATAAAAATCTAAACTGGATAATTATTTTAGGACGAATAAGGTAATTTACATCCAATAATTTTTTTTTCAAGCACTAAATTACATTCTCAATTTTTTTTTTTGTAAAGTAATATAAAAAGAAACCGATTCTCTCTTCTTAGTGGGTCGCTGACTCGAGTCATGCTCAAGCATTGAATCAATTTAAGGGGAAAAACAACATTTTAACGTTGGAAAAGATATGTACGAAAGTCTGCCATCCCAATTTTTTTGTTTTCTACAAACAAACAAATAGAGTTATTATTAATTAGTACTTTAGGAGGGGATTTTAAAATTTAAATAAACTATGTCTTTTACCCTTCAATAGTAAGATCATATTATGAATTTAAATTAGACCTTTCCATGGTTCCTCGATTCTGATTTAGTAAAAATAAGAATCAGAATTGCCCCTTTATACCAGAATTTCGGTTACGGTTTGAAAATTATCGATTCCGATTTGATTCTAGTTCTGTTATTCTTCTTATTTTAGTTCTAACTTCTAAGTTGTGGTTGTTTTTGTCACAATATTTTTTATTGTAAATTTTCTTTTTCTTTTTTGAATAGTAATATGGAATGTGGAGTAAGAAATTTAATTTTTTAATTTCTGAAAAAATAGAACAATACTTGGCTTGTGTACTCCAAATTTTAATGATATGTAAAATAATAATAAAGAGTACTTAAATTTTACTCAAATCAACAAATCATCCCGACAAATATTATTCTATAGCATAATAAAGATAAAAGTCTGAGTGAGCCAAAAAATTTCTAAAATATAATGGACCCGGCAATTTATTCCTCAAATATATAGTTTGTGTCATATTAAAAAACAAAATAACTATACAACGGTTTAACCAGTAATTGAACCATCGGTTTATTCTTTTATTTTCCTAAGTTCCTTCTTAAAGTGCTAAAATAACTATATTGACCTTTTTTTAAGTTGTGTATTAAATTATTAATTTTTAAGGTTCAAAACCGCCAGTTTTCGATTGTAGAAATAATAAAAGCTTATGGTGTTAGAACTTTAAAAAAGGTCAAGAACTATAACCTTATTCTCCGGTTCGAACCGGAATGGGCATGCCTATCTTAAATTTATATTTACGCTTCAGTGAAAATTAGCTTTCTGTTCTCGAGTCTGGTACGTATGTTCTCGAGCGCAACTATGAAGCTCTCTTTCTCCCTTTCTAAAAAATCTCAAACTAAGCCGCCGTCCGCCTCCGTCAACGCTGCCGCACGCGGTGGCGCTGACGATGCCGAAGAAGAATCGAGGGTTTACCTTACAGAATTCGACGCTTCCAAGGCTCCGTCTACTGACCTAGGCAAGAATCGCGTAATTCCTCCTCTTGCCAACGAATGGAGACCCTACAAGAAGATGAAAAACCTCGATCTTCCACTTCAATCCGACGGCGAACAACCTAGCCTGCAATTCGAGGTGGTCGAGGCTTCTGCAACTGATCCAGCATCCGCGGATTCAATGTCCTACGGCCTTAATTTGCGTAAGTCCGACTCTAACCCTAGCTCCGATGTTAATGAAGTTGATCCTTTTTTGAAGAAATTGAGGGATGATATGGAGAGGTTGCCGGAAGATGTTGGCTTGAATGAATACGAGGATATGCCGGTTGAGGATTTTGGGAGGGCGTTGATGGCTGGGATGGGTTGGGTTGAGGGGAGAGGGATTGGACGGAATGCAAAGGAGGATACGAAAGTTAAGGAGGTTACTAGACGGACAGCCAAGGAAGGTTTAGGGTTTACTGGTCCATTGCCTCAAATTCCTGGGCGGGGTGATGGAAGGAAAAAGCCTAGTGACCACATTAATAGTGAAAGAGGCAAAAGTGATCAGGTGGCTAACAATGGAAAAGATAAAGGATTACACGCGGGGAAAGAAGTTAGAATAGTTGGAGGAAAGGAAATTGGGATGAAAGGTAAGATTCTGGAGTTAAGACATAAAGGGGAAGTTGCTTACTTGAGACTTTCAAACAGTAAGGAAGAGATAAAGGTTTATACCCGGGATTTAGCCGAGTTGGGCTCGGCAGAGGAGGAGCGGTGTTTGAGGAAGCTAAAGGAGTTGAAAATTAGAGAGAATGGTAATGCCACTGATAAGAGAAGTAGTAGGAAGGATAATATGGAAATAGATAAAGAAACAAAACCATCGAGAAGGGATATTGGTGAGGGCAGGGATCGGAAGAACGAGGTAAAGAGGGAAAGAGGTGAAACGAAGGTGAATGATGGCCATGGGCAGTTGCCGTGGTTGACATCTCATATAAGAGTGAGGATCATAAGCAAGCACATAAAAGGGGGCAGATTGTATTTGAAGAAAGGGGAGGTTGTGGATATGGCTGGTCCTACAACATGTGATATAAAAATAGATGAGAGTAGGGAGTTGATCCAGGGTGTGGATCAGGGGTCTTTGGAGACTGCAATTCCTAAACGTGGAGGCCCGGTTTTAATTTTATGTGGCAAACATAAGGGTGTCTATGGAACATTAGTTGAAAGAGATACAGAGGAGGAAACAGGTGTTGTTCAGGATGCTGACTCGCGTGCGTTGATTAATGTTCGACTTGAACAAATTGCTGAATATATGGGGGATCCGAGCTACATTGGCTATTAGATATTCTTTGCTGAGAGCTGCAGCATACCTCGGAGACACCATTTCATGAGCTTTAGGTAATCTTGCAGTATTTGGAATCGAAATGATTTCAAGCAACTTTGTTTTGTTATATCTATACATAATCTGTTCTGATCATCAGGGCATTTGGTTCTTGGGTATTTATGTGTAAGATTTAAGTAAATGCCTTACAGATTAGTTATGTTATATGCAACCTGGAACATCAGATTTGTGTGGAGAATGCTTTAGAAATGAATTTGATTTCTAGTTTTTCTTTCATTCTGAGGAACATGAGCATGTTTGATACTAATTCTTTAAAGTAGGTTGAAAAGCAATGTTTTTTTTTTTTTGGGTGAATAAGGCTGCTATACTAGATTTCTTTCCGATGATGTTACTCATCAGTTATGTACTTTAAGAACATGAGACAATTTGATGGATATTCTATTATGTATGTGCTGTCAATCTTGTTCTGATTGTTTCTTTACGTCATTGTTTGAGTGATAGTTGAATCTGTGTAGTCATAGTTTCCAATGTTGCAGTTTAACCTGTGTCGTTGTTTGAGTGATTGTTGAATAAGGCTGCTATACAAGATTTCTTTCCGATGATGTTACTCATCAGTTATGTACTTTAAGAACATGAGACAATTTGATGGATATTCTATTATGTATTTGTGCTGTCAATCTTGTTCTGATTGTTTCTTTATGTCATTGTTTGAGTGATTGTTGAATCTGTGTAGTTATAGTTTCCAATGTTGCAGTTTAACCTGTGTAATCAATTAAATGACTCCAGAACGAAAGATAAGTCTGCAATGAAATTTGATCAACTAAAATAACCCATTGCATTCTTTGGAGTATGTTTCGAAATGAATGTGATTTCAATCATTCTTTCCTTCTGAGGCTCAGGTGTATGAATCGTTTTGCTTTGAATTGGGTTTAAGACATGTTTCTTTTATTGGAACTTGATCATCTGTTTTAGAAGAAACTGGTTCAGTTTACATGATGGACCAGGGATCTCCATCATTCTCAATTTTATTTCAGCTGCTGTTCTTGTGGTTACAAAATTCTCAGTGTTGCATCTTAATCCACCTGTCTAATTTTTGTCTGGCATTCTATAATTTAAGTTTTTCTTAGCATTTTAGCTCCTAGGTCTTAGATTCATTGTTTCTGACTATTGGGAAGAATTGTTGTAAAATCATTTGTCCAAAAGATCATTAGCCATGTAGAGTTTCTGTTTCTGAATGTGGTTTTGATGAAATTCAGGGGTTAGAAACATGCGGTAAGGGAGATGGATTGAAGGGAGGATTTGAAATATGGATCGATATGTTTGTTATTTCAAAAAATATTACAGCTACTACAGAATCTGAAGGAAATTCTTTCTTATAAAACAAAGCTAACCTGTCTATGATAGTATTATTTACTGAGATGTCTACACCCATTTAATATTGTTTCAAGTATTTTTCCACTTTGCTTCAGGCACAGAATATATTGCCAATGAAGAAAAAGCCACAATGATTACATAACAAAAACTAACTTCACATGTATTGCTTGATCAGATGCTGCATCATGTATTGCTTTCAGCAGCTATCTCTCTGACAAACTTCAACAACAGTTTGGAAGCTTTACCAACACCCCCTCAAGACGATAGAGAGCAACCAAAGAGAGCAACAAAGACAGCAAAAAGCATTCCTGGTAGATTCATACAAGGTACACACCTTGTATTTAGATCAAATGGCGTCTTACCTGTATGCTGCAGTAATATGTACTCAACGTAATGTATTATTTTGATCATATAAGCATAGAATAGCATAACTTGTGTGTCAAATGCTGAAAACCACAAAACAATGAGAAAGTGAAGCTGTTATTTTTAGATCCAAACAGCAACTTTTTCCGTTGCGTCTACCATTTCTAGGGCATCTGTCTCAGCTTCTTTTGGTTTGGGCTTTTTCTTCTTTGAGGAGGCGTTTGTTTTGCGGGAATCGGAATCGGGATTCGGATTTTGAATTCAATTTGATGTTTGGTTGGTGGGATTCACGATTCCTGGAATCAAAGAAAAACATTAATATACTACCCCCGTCCCACAAAAATAGTTAAGTTTTGAGTTTTGTACTGTTTTTAGAACAAATTTAAAAACTCAATGTGCATTATTTTTGTGGGACGGAGGGAGTAGTATTTTCTCTTTCTTCTCCCTTTCCTCTCTCTCTCTCTCCTATTCGTCTTCTTTTTGCTTTTGTCTTCTGCTACTTCTTCTCCGGTGCAGCCTCTTCACTTTCCTTTCACTCTCTCTCTCTCTCTCTCTTATCTTGGCTGCATAATAATTTCTTGATAGATTAACATGAAAGACCACATGTATGAAATTTCTTCATGAAGTTGGGTGATTTGATCAGTGCCGGCGGTAGCAAGCTGTGTTTTCTTCTTCGTCCTTTTTTTATGTATATATATATATATATATATATATATATAATTCTGTGATTTTACCTTCCACCATTTTATTCATTTTCAGATCTGGAATCTCCTTTTTCAATCTGTTTATTTGGGTCCGTTAATGGTAACTGGAAGGAACTACTGGTCTAATGTTTGACCCAAGGTCTGATTGAATTTCTTTTTTTTCAAAAGGAGATTTTTGCATATTATGATGATGACTGGTATTACGGGTAGAAGATGGGTATCATGGTTAGTGGTGCTGGTTCTTGGCGGGAAGTGGTGGGGCGGGAAGTGGTGGGGCGGCACTGTTCAGGTGAGAGGAGTAGACTATGGACGGGAAAAAGGAATTCTTCAATTTTTTTTCATTTTGATAATAATGGTAAAAATTAAAAAAAAATGCGTTTTTTTTTCCTATCCATATGTTCAATCAAACGGTACTATCTGATTCGTGAATCCCTCATTAATCCATTCCGTCATGATTCAAATTCGTTTTGTGAATCCGTTTCCGGCTGACAGAGCATCTTGAATTCTTTCTTCCTAGTATATTCACAATCAACTTCTTTATCTAAGTGAACCGTTTCCTCAGTTCATCTCAAGGATTTAGCAATGTCATTTTATTCAGATCGTAGCATAAGTCAAACAACATAAACAGACCCGCCCACTATATTACCAACTAGTTTCGGATCAGGTCCAACATTACACATCTAATTATAAAAAAAAAAAACAAAAAAGGTTCAAGATATGTCATTTGATGTATTCATTTCCATGTTCACTTATGTAAGGGAAAAGATGTCGTTCTTACCCAAAACTTTAACTTTGCCCTCGTTGTCAATTATATTTAATAGATTTTTGGTTAGTCAACTTTATCATAATGTTTGAAATTTTCGTTAATTTTATCCAATCGATCCATTTTTGGTCCAAATTAACATATCTCTGTCAGTTTTTTAATAAAATAATAAATTTAAATACAAAAACACTCAAGTAGTTTTTAAAAATTTAAAAAATAACAAAACAGTTCCTTTTCACTTTTTTATTTTATTTTTCTCTATTTTGTTTTATTTCTCTTTACTACTTTTAATGACCATAAAAGTATATATATTAGTTTTAAAAAAATATTTATTTATTTTCAAACTCTATCGTAAATTAACTACTGATTTGAGTATAATTAAATATTACCTCCGTCCTAAAAAAAAGTCCACATTGAGTTTTGAAGTTTGGACTGTTTTTAGTATAAATTTTAAAACTTAATGTGGACTATTTTTCTGAGACGGAAGTAGTAAAAAAGTAATTAGAGAGAAACGTAATATGCCTATAAAGCCAATTATAACGACCAATTTGGATGAAAATGGCATTCATGACCATTAAAGAAACAGAGTTCATAAAATTAGTTTTCTTAACCCAAAAAAAAAGGAAAGAAAAAGAACATTCAATCTATTTTGTATCTTATATTTCAATAATTTCTTCCTACCGTTTCAACAAAAAAAAATAAAAATTAAAATAAAATAAAATAAAATTCTTCCGCGACTAAGTCAACACTGAAGACTTTAAAAAGAGAAAAGAGGACACGAATACTGAAGGTTAGATGACAATCCACTCAACGATGTTCTAACTTCTAAGTTCTGACAGTAAGTTATCAAGTGTGCATAACTTTGCCGTCAATAGACTTCTACGTGCTTTAAGAAATCTGTTAATTGACAAAAACTCCCCGTTTGGGAGGTAAACGTATTGAACTATTTTCTGTATGACCTCGGCTCAAATCTGTATTTAGAGGGATACCATAGTGAGACTTTTCTACCTCCCAATATGATGGATTTTACTTAGAGTGAAGACAATGGTTTCAAACACCATGTGTGTCCTATCAAACCAAAAAAAAGAAGAAGAAGAAAATATTGTAAACTTGATTCAGAATGCATTTCAACCACAACAAATGAGTTTTCTTCCTTTATCAGGAAAATCTAAAGATGACGCTGCTTCAACATAGTCTAACTTGGAAAACGACCTTTGCACACTTTACAAATTGTAAACACAATACTGTCGCATTTCTTCTTCATACCTGCCTATCAAAACACGCAAACTTTTCTCTACACATTGAGTATGGATATTGTTTCTGGTGTGTTAGCTCAAATCTCAACTTTAATTGTAGGTGAGGCAAACTTGTTAGGAGGGGTTGGACAAGAGATCCAACGCATGGTTGATGAACTTGGACATATGCAGGCTTTCTTAAGATTTGCAGAATCTAAGGAAGAAGAAGACCCTCGGCTTGAAGAGTGGATCGTGCAAGTTCAAGATGTTGCTTATGATATCCAAGATGTATTGGATGAATTCATGTTGCGTTTCAGGCATCATCATGGACAGGGTTTTTATGGACATGTTCGGAAGATTTTCTCCTCCATGAAGAACTTGCGGGAGCACCATCGAATTGCTTGTGTGATACAAGGCATTAAGTCTAGAATCACTAGTATATCTGAAAGTTACAAGAGGTACCAATTTGAATATGGTGCTTCTTCTAACCAAGTCTTATCAGCTTCTTCATCGGTTGTCACCAACAACAACTCATGGCGGGATTACAGAGATGACACCCCGCTCCTTGTAGAAGAAGCAAAGCTGGTCGGAATTGATGGCCCGAAACAGCAGCTCATTTCTCAACTCCTTGATGGCGATCCCGAGCTTAAAGTTGTATCAGTTCTTGGAATGGGAGGAATAGGGAAAACTACTCTGATTAAAAAAGTCCATGGAGATGGAAATGTGTTAAGACATTTCCAAGTCCTTGCCTGGGTTACAATTTCGCAAACATATGATATGAAAGAGTTGCTTAAGGAATTGATTCAACAACTTTATATAAGCGTTGGAAAATATAGTCATCGGGAAGAAGCTAAAACCGAGCAGCTAAAAGCGCTTGTCAAGGACTTTCTCCAAAACAAGAGGTATGCAATTGTCTTTGATGACGTTTGGGACTCAAATTTTTGGGAGGCAATTAAATTTGCATTGCCTGAAGGTTGTCATGGAAATCGTGTGATACTAACTACTCGAATAGCAGATGTAGCTCGTGCCTCTGGTGCAGAATTTAATAGCTATGTTCACCAAATGCGACCATTATCTTCTGATGATTCTTGGACTCTTTTTTGCAAGAGGACGTTCAAAGATAATTGTTGTCCTGTCCATCTCAAAGATGTTGCTCTTAGAATATTGAGAAAATGCATTGGACTGCCACTTGCAATTGTGGTAATTAGTGGAGTATTGGCATCGAAAGACAATGGAAAAATAGATGAATGGAATATGGTTGAATGCAGCCTTGGCGGTGAACTTGAGTTTAGTGGTAAATTGAGTGCAGTTAGAAAAATTTTGTTGCTAAGTTATAATGAGCTGCCATATCATTTGAAGACTTGTTTGTTATATGCAAGTATTTTCCCGGAGGATTACAAAATAAAAGAGTCGAATTTCATTCGATGTCTGGTTGCAGAAGGATTCGTTGTACAGAAATCGAGGATGACAAAATATGAGGTGGCACGAGCCTATCTTGATGAACTTGCCAACATGAGTCTTATTCAAGTTTCAGATGGATCACCTGGTACGGATTTTTTTAGAGTGTATCAAATTCATGACCTTCTGAGAGAAATCCTTCTTTCAAAGGCAATGAGACAAAATTTTGCAACTATAGTAGCCTCAGGGGAGCATCCAATTAGGTTGCCTAGAAAGGTTAGACGCCTAGCATTCCATGATTTCAAATCTGATGCTAAGGGAAGTTCCATTTCCTTCAAGCATTTGCGATCTTTGATTTTCATCAACTCTTTGGAACCTTTGTCAAAATCCCAGCTTTCTCGGATGTTACATGGTGGCTTTAGGCCATTGAAGGTATTAGATTTGGTAAGTACAGGTTTAAAGGAAATTCCCAAAGAAGTGTTTACACTGTTTTACCTCACTTCTCTGAATCTCAAACACACAAAGGTGAAGATCATACCAAGATCCATTGGAGCTCTAAAGAATTTAGAGTTTTTGGATCTATCATACACCAATGTGAGCGAGGTACCAGAAGACATACTGAAGATAAAGGGACTGATTCATCTAATCGTGTATCGATGTAGTGTGAGTTCAGGATTTACCGTCAAGGGGTTTAAAGGCCCAAATAATATCTCCAAGTTTTCCTCTTTGGAGCAGTTGTTGTGCATAGAAGCAAATGAAACAGTGATCAAAGAGATAGAAAAGCTCAAGAAATTGAAGATACTGGCCGTTACGATTATAAAAAGAGAAGACCAGAAACACTTTTTCTTCTCTCTTGGAAAGCTCACCAATCTTAGGGAACTTTTTCTTCAAACAGCAACTTCTGATGAGGTAATTGATCTTGATGACATTAACTCTTCATTCTGTTCAGGTCTCCAAAATCTCCAAAATTTATGTTTGATTGGTCGCTTGAAAAGGTTACCCCATTTAATGTCTTGCTTAAAAGGATTGCTTGCGGTAAAGTTGGTTTCGAGCAGGTTGAAGAGTGAACCTCTTGAATCTCTCCAACACTTGCCAAATTTGCGAGGGATTTTGTTCGACCAAGCTTATGAGGGAGCGGTTTTGAACTTCAAATCTGGGTGTTTCTTGAAACTTGACAGTTTGATCCTTGTCAAGTTACATAGTTTGGAATATCTGAGAATAGAAGAAGGTGCAATGCCTAACCTTGGAACGTTAGCTATCATATCCCTTCAATCATTGCAGGAATTTCCTTGGGGAGTTCAACACTTGGCAAAAGTCCAACAACTGTATTTGGAGTTGATGAGTGATAAAGTGACTGTTGAACTACAGAATCATCACGAAGATAGTGAAAATTATAAGAAAATAAGTCACATTCTTCAAATTTTGATCTGGGATCGCGAAGACGGATGGTGTAGACACCCACAATATTGGAAGACAAGAAAACCAGGCATGAGCTTTACTGGACTACCTGTGAGTAAATAATTTATATCAGATAACTTCTGATGTACTATTTTTGCCCTTGTTCTCTTGTTTCTTGTTTCTAGTGTCGCTCATTTGTTGCATTCATAAACCCTTATGGACATGATTTTGTTTTCATTTTCATTTTAGATATGAACATTAATTGAAATGACGGTTTATGTGGAACTTTAAGGTAATCTTAAGTTTAACTTTTAAATGAGGAGGTTGCACCTAGCCACCATCATCTCCTTTTTTTGGTACAAAGGGAGTGGTAAATTTGATTTTGTTCTAGCTGCCGTATTTGCTGCATTTCTTGATTTCATTAATCAAAGTCGATGCTTAGACTTCAGGAAGAAAAGTAATTGTGTATTAGCTAGACACACTGCGACTCTTCTGTTTTTTCCGACTATAACGATGGAAGGTATTTCCTTAGAATAAGATCTCCAAGGAGATGACTTACAATAAGGTGGTTGTGTCTCTTTTTATTAAGTAATATAGGATTTTTGAAGTTAAGAATTAGACCCTGAATTAATTATTGTTTCGTGTTAAATATTTAAGGCTCACGTCGAGGGAATCAACAACCATCAGGAACCTGTGGGATACTATTCTGTCGCGACTCCTTCAGAGGTTGCATACATACGGTGATATCATTTTTATCCAAGTTCGACGTTGATGATGAAGGCCTAAGGTATGAGGTTTCTCGTTCATGACGTGGAACAGTTTGCCAGGAAAATGCACATATTATTGACAACTTTCATATGTGCAAATGTTTCTTCACAGAGTTTTTCTGGATATTTGTGTCTACCGAGAATAGCAGGCCAAAAGAATTGCAAAACTTGATCAAGTTTTCGCTATTCTTTGAGTTAGATTAGGGAGTTTGTATGTTTTTATATCTGTGTTTTACTTATGCGATATGGAGGTTGTTGATTTAATAATTGTGGGCGATGCAACTAGGTTCTATTACTCTCTCCGTCATTATGATAGTGCACTAGGTACTGAATTGTTCTGCTTTTAGTTCAATTTATCGGACTTGCATTTTATTGATGTGCAATGGAGTTTTGAATAAATCCTACAATTTCCGGTTCTTTTATGTCAAATGGAAAGCACAATTATTTTGATCATCATGCTCCCTCTGTCCATACAGTTCAGTATACAGAACTCTTTTTTTGGGACGGAGGGGTATTATATATCTTCACTTTCAAAAATATTGAAGCTGATGAACTAGAGAGTATTGAAGGAATCTGTTTCTAGTAAATATTAGCTTCACAGAGTATACTCTGCAGAACTGACTAAGGAGACTCAGATAATAATACAGCATTACTTCATTCTTCAAGTCACAGCCATTTCATTCCCTCAGCAAAAAGTCATGGGCTGCTGCAAAATTAACAGCATGAAATTTTCCTCCCGGCCCCCTCATAATAGTGTGGTGTTTGTTTCATCAGATAATTGATCCTAATAAGAAATTTTATCATAAACTTATTGTCATGTTTGTTGTGCGTCCCAAAATTACTATTTTGCACAATCATTTTAGGGCAGGAGCGGCAATAATGTTTTGATAGGTGAATGAGTACACAACAATGGTTAAAATTTTTATTCAGAGATTTTTACATTTCACAAGAGATCTACTTAATTTGAACCACGATTAGTCCTGTAATGATCCCCTATTCAGGTGTATTAAATAATGACAATGATACTGATTAAAGGTTTCAAGAGATAAGTTAACACTCAACAGTGGCTACACAAACAATCGACATTTGCTCTATTCCCAGTGGCCACATGACCAAAAAAATCAAGCATCAGTCAGTATGCATTCTTCCTCTCAATATTGATATTTTAGATAATAGCACCAGGTCTGTGTTGGATACAACGTTGTTTCGAATCGGGTGAGAGCATATAAATGTTTCTTGTTTCCTCAGTATTTTCACTTAGTGCAGTCCTAAGTCTGGGTGTCTTAGATTGCGTTCGTAGAGATATTGCAGTTTTCTCTGACAAAATGGGAATAAATGATGTTTTCTCTGTTGTTCAAATGGTCCGTCGCCTTGTTCTGTTCAGGTTTTTGGGAATGCAGATTTTGTGAGGTCTGAAGATTAGAAACATTTTGGGGGAGGGTGATGGCTTGAAGAAAGGGTTTCAAAGTTGTACCGTAGTTCGGTATATGTTTTATCTCAAACATGTTACAGCCGATGAACAAATCAAGTCAAGAAGGAAAATATGAACATTATTCGGACAACAAATGTTACATCATTTCTTTCCATTTGTCAGAGGAAGAACATGAAATTGTAGGATATCTATGTAAAACACCATTACTCAGCAGTAAAATGCAAGTCCAGAAAAGTGAATTTCACTTTATGTAAAACACATCTTGTAAATATGCTTTGATTACCGTCGATAAAATATGGAGTTCAAAATGGTTTTTGGCAGGGTCAAGAATAGAAGAACTTTGCAAAGGAAGGTTATAATTGGCTCAGAGGACCTGGTAGTAAGTGGAGAGCAACAAGAATAGTTTGGAGTGCCTACAATATACCTAAGCACTGCTTTATAACCTGGTTGGAATTGAAGGATAAACTGTCAACTCAGGACAGGCTATTGGAACTGAATTTGTTCCATGGCATGAAACAGTGTGAATTATGTGGTGATCATGAGGAGAATATGTATGGATCATTTGTTCTTTTGTTGTTCCTTCTCTCAGCAAATTAAAGAAGTTTTATTGGACAGGTTGGGCTTACCATTGCAGTTGCAAATACTGAGATCATCTATGAAAAGAATAATGAAAATATGGAGGTTCTAAAAATTGAAGCAAGAGAATACTTTTTGTTGTTTTAGTTGCAGCTATTTATCATATCTGGTCTGAACATAATTGCAGGAATCATTTCCAAGCAGTTACAAGGAAAAAAATCCATAAAGAATAATGATAGTTACAAGGAAAAAATATCAGAGAAAAAATCACAAGAACATCTCACCTATTCACAGGGTTTATGCATTTAATGTTAGGACATAGTTTAGATGTTGACACATCATTCCTTATCAATTCTCCTCGTCATTTTTTCCTTGTACCTATCACTATTCTTCGACAAATACAAGTATGTTTTTTTTCATATTGTGTATGAGCATATCGTTTTCAATTTTTTTTTTTTTTAAAGAAAAACTCTGCAACGATTGCAAAGAGCCGTGATTGTAATATCGAACCCACCTAGAACAATTTAAAACCTATCGATTGTGAACGATATGTTTTCTTTTCTGCAATTGATTCTACTTTTTCAAACCGAAACTTCTAATTTCAAAACCATTTATTTCCGATTGAAGCTGAACCGTTTAGTTAATTCTCTTACACTCATGACTTGACTTGACTCAAACTTATGCATTGATTCATTTTTCTCCATACCAAAATGTCATGGCGATCAGACCTTTAGTTTACCCACAAATCAAAATGCAATGTCTAGACTGCAAATGGCCCGAATCATCTTAATTGCTTGACGGAGTTGATTATTACGTAAAATAACTCCACATCTACTGTTTTTGGTGTAACGTACAAGTCAGTCTAAGTACACACAACTATCATTACCTTTATTTTGTTCCTCGTTAATTCTCCAAGAAATTCTAACTTTCCTAAGGCAGTCTACTCTCTTTGTCTTCAAAGAAATAAACTATTTTCTGATATAATTTTGGTTCAACTATCCGGTTGGATTGCATTGGGTTGTTGAGCCCCCGGATGGGGTGAAGCCGTGGTTGGAACACGATATTGTCGGAGTTTCTTACTCACGTAATGTTTTAATTTGATTTTCAGCTAGACTTTAACCTCCTCTTCTGTACCAAAAAAATAAAATAGATTATTTTATAAACGGAAAGAGTATAACTTACGAGAAATTATTCTACACAGCCACTGTACCACATCACCAACGTGAGGTGGTACAGCAAACCTATCCGTTACGACATGTGTTTTTCTCTTAATGTAACTCTCTTATTTATTTTAACCGCTGATCAATTTTTATCCCCAGCCTGATTTTCTTATGCGAGCGATATCCCCAAATCTCAAATCAATTATCCAAATTCGCCCCTCATCACACCCCAGATTGTTACCGAAAGAGAAGGATTTGCAATGACTCTCGATCAAGAAAGTGGCGGGAAAATATTTTTCCTACAATTATCAGAACAAATCATCATCTTAGTTTCTGAATTGTTTCATCAAATAGGAGCGGCGATCAATTTCGATTTATCCCTGGATAATGGATTCTTCAGAAGCCGGAGGAAATTCCCAATGTGATTGAGGGAAAAGGCTTCGTTCTGAATTTGTTTTTTTCATCGAGGCTGTTTCATTAGTTTTTTCTTTTCTTCTACAATTTTAGTAATTTGCAGTGAGTTTGATGGAACCCAACGCAACTTTGTTATTTGTTTATATGTATACTTTAATTGCTTTGTTTCGTTGAATTTTATAGTTTGCTGTCTTGTCATTGTTCATATAAGCTACGCGTGAATTCGGTTGAATCTTACCGAACCTTAGTTTTAGGAGTAATATCAATTAGTACGTTTCATACTTTTGTTTTTGGGGCTTTTTTTTTTTTTAATTCATGAAATAGTTAGTTAAATATGATAACTAATATCACTCTGTTTTCGTATGTTTACAGTTATTGATTTAAACTGTGAAGATACACTGATTGATTTGAACGATGAAGAAACCTGAAATTTCTTCTAAAGAAGTTAAAGAAGTAGTAAGAACTGATGTTGACTATGAGCTTCGATTGAAACTTGGGATGATTGTGCATAGCGAGAATGAAGCATATGATCTTTATAACGAATATGCTTTTAAGTAAAGGTTTTAGTATTCGGCGAGAACAAATTCGATATAAATATGAAACTAAAGAGATTAATGGAAGAACTTTTGTATGTTCAAAACAAGGTATTCGAGATTCTGATCCCTTAGAAGTGAAAAAAGTTGATCGCTTGGAAACTAGAACTGGATGTACGGCTCTTGTGACATTTCTGGTAGAAAATGGTATATGGGAAATTGTTCGTTTCAATGATGATCATAACTATGAATTTGCTTCGCCAGAGCAAAGACATTTGTTAAGGTCTGGGAGAAAAATGTCACAAGTTACAAAATATGTAGTTGATTCTTTGTATATGTCAGGCATTGGGCCAGCAAAGGCTCATGATTTTGTTGCTGGGGAGAATTTGGTGGATGCCAATATGTTTCAGGTACTAAAAGGGATTTTCAGAATTATGTAAATAGAACAAGGATGAATCTATTTGAAGCTGGAGATGGGCAAGCTCTTTTAAATCATTTTCAGCTTAAGCAAGCTAACGACCCCATGTTTTTCTATACACCACAACTTGATGATCAAAATCGTCTAACTAATATATTTTGGAGAGATGCAATGTCCAAGTTGGATTACGATTGTTTTGGTGATGTTGTGATTTTTGATACTACTTTCCGGGAAAAAAAAAAGTATAATATGCCCTGTGCACCTTTTGTAGGAGTAAATCATCATTGGCAGAATAAACTATTTGGTTGTGCCTTTCTTCTTGATGAAACTATTGGCTCTTTTGTGCGGTTATTTTAGACTTTTAAGCAAGCAATGGGAAAAAAGCAGCCGCAGATTATTTTCACAGACCAAGATGATGCTATGGCTAATACTATTAAACATGTT